TCGGCGCAGATTTCTTGGATCCGCGCTGGACCGCCCCGGCGGCGCCTCGGGCGCCGCCCCTGGCGTGCTCCGCGCGCCAGGTAGGCGGGTCCAGCGCAGATCCAATGAGCCCGCGCGGAGCGCCAAAAGTTCATGTTTATGGCGTTCGTTATTTTTCTTTTTCTTCCTCTTCTTCTGCTTCTTCTGACGTAGGCTCCCATGGATTTGACACCAGAGGGGGACAAGACGCTCACCGGCCGCGGCACGGCTGCGGCACGCGGGCGCCGCGCAGTGGTGGCGCCAGAAGGAGCGGCTCCACGAGCCCCGGCCCCAGTGGCTCGGCGATCGTTCGGCGCTCGGGTATCGGGCACATCCTATCACCGAGCGCCTGCCACTACTTGCAAATTGCCTAGTCGCAAACGTCATAAAAAATCTGGTTTTCCTTCATGTGAGGTATCGTACAAACCGCGGCAGGTAGATGCCATGTGCGAGTAGTTACTTTGCGAGTCGTGGAACGCGCTTGTCCATCCTAGGCCTCGCAGATCGGCGTCACCCCAACAGAGGAATACTATGTGTGCGTCGCCCCCCCAGGGGCGACGCGCGCACCGAGAAATCTTCTGGCATATGCCTCGTGGCAGGCGCTTTCTGGCCACACCGCTCGGGGAAAGATCTACTAGAAGATGGGCCTACTGGATGTTCGGCTCGGACGCGCGCCTCCGAGGAGGACATATAGTACTAGTATGTCTCCGTGCGTCCCAGCAGATGAGGTCGCAGTACGGTCGGGAAGTTGTGGGTAGCGTGCCGCTCCGCCGGTTCTGGCCCACTACGCTTCGGCGCGACACGCCAGGTTTCAGCGTCCCGAGCCTTGCGAAGCTCGCGCCCCGCGGGGCCGAGCGACACGCGATCCACTCGCAAGGCATAGTTAGCGTGTCGCCAGGGCCGCCGTGACAACACGCCAAGCAAACGTTCCAGACCGTAGATGGTCAGAGGAGGAGCAGTTTCTGCTACCCTTCACTCGGGTTTCGTCTCTTTGAGGCTCCTGGGAGGCCCCCGTCGTCACTGCTGGACTCGGCGCGTCATCTATGTCAGAACGCACCGCACCGCAGGAGAGGTCCAGGGAGCAGAGGTGTCGTTATTTTTTTCTGGAATACCCCAGATGGGTCATAGAGTGAACAAATCCATAGTAAGGACGGGTAGCCTTCCCAAGGGCACCCTTGCGTCCTTAGCTTTGTTCGGCAGTGCGCAGCCAGAAAAGCTTCGACTGAGGCGTCCAAGGACCGTCCAAGGGTCCTGCGTCCTTGCAGAGCGTCCTCACTACAGATTCTGCCTGTAGGATCGCGCCGCATCGCCGATGCTTCGGCGATGCGGTTCGATGTGGGGCTGATTTTCTCCACGCCGATGCGTCGCCGACGCATCGGCGATGCGGTGCCGAGGTCGGGCCACAGTTATGCGGACCCATCCATGGGAGGCCCGGCGGCTCTGCGACCAGATCCCAGCCACGCGCAGAGGGGGGTCAGGGGGAGGGGGAAGGTCTCGAAGCAACCTGCTTCTCAGAGGGACGTGGACGTCCGGCGTCCGGCAGAAGCTTCCGAGAGCATCGTGAGCGTCGGCAGTCTCCTCCCCTCCGCCCCGGCGAAGACCATTCATGGCCTCGTCGCTGCATCGGTTCCCGCAGGCTCCACGCGCCTCGGCAGTTGCCATCAGGCGGACTGCCGGGGTCCCCGCTCAAATCAACACTTTGCCGCCCAAAGAGAGGATATGCACCTGAGGGGACCGAGGCCATCCCCAAGGCCCGTCGGCTAATGGAGGCGGACATGTGGGGGATCAAAATGCACCTCCACGCCATTCAAAGTTTCTCATGTTGGCGTCAGCTTCCGCTCATTGACAGTTTCTCTTGGAGACCCGCCCCCAGAGAGCTTCTCGCTTCCCTCTCCTTCCCCCTGCCTCATTATTTCTCCCTCCTCCCCCCTCCGCGGGCCCACTTGACAACCAAAGAACCCTCCAGGACCCCTCCACTTCCCCTTTCACCTTCCTCCTCCACCTCCTCCTCCTCCTCCTCCTCCTCCTCCTAGTCCTCATCCTCATCCTCATCCTCATCCTCCTCATCCTCATCCTCATCCTCCTCCTCCCCCGTCCAGCTCCCACCCACGCGCGACGACGGCGTTCGCGACCCGTCCGCCAACTCCCCACAGCGGTAGCGGCGGCAGCGACGGCGACCGCGACAACGGCGGTGACGACGGCGACGACGATCGGATTGTTCAACCCAGGTACGCCAATTGCGTGAGCGGCTGTCAGGCGGGCGGCTACGGGGGGGGGGGTCCCGACGTCGCCTTTCCGCCCGGCCCTTTGCCACGCACTGCTGCTTGCGTCTTTTGCCTCCTGCTTCCTCTTGTGCTCCGTCCTCTGCTGTCAGGCGGGCGGCGGTCATTGAAGAGTCCATGGTTCGCAGCAGCGGGGCCCGAGGAACCCCCCTGAGGCCTTCCAAAAGCGCCCAAGGGGCTTCCAGAAATCCCCAATAAGCCCACAAAGGTTGCGCCAGGCTCCGAGTAGGGACTCGTGGCTGTTTGCCCTTATTCGCTTGTCTATCATTCTGCCCACAGGCCGAGATTGAAGGACCAAGGTGCATGGCGCGAAGCGCCCATGCACTCTTGCACAGATGTGTTTATAGCGTGCGAACTCATCATCGGGGCCCAATGGGGTTTGGATCCACGCAGCCCTGAATCTGGACACCAGTGCTATGATTTCACGTGGGAGGACCCATAGCTGTGGCAGACGAGGAGGGGCGCAGAATGAAGAGCAGGACGCGGGCAAGGAAGAACAGGAAGGACAAGGAGATGGTGAAGCTCCGGACGTGAAGCATGAAGAGAACGCATCTGAAGACGAGGGGAAGAAGAGGATGCTGCCCTGGCAGCTCGACGGCTCGTATCCGGCATCTGGGGCTGCACCAGGACACACTTAGGTCTGCGCGAGTAGTTCCCACCACATCACTGACACCGTACAGTGCCCGCCTTTCGTGAGTGGTCTACTTTTAAGTCGGGCCTCCTCGCTTCGTGAGGGGACTACTTTTAAGTCGGGCCTGTCCCTCTACAGGAGGAATATGTGAGATCAGTTCAACAATAGTCTGGGGACGATTTGGGTTTTAGTATTTTGTCATGTTTGCATATGTTGCGTCTCTTCCTCATTTTTCGCCCCACATCCCCATGTGGGAGGACACGCCCGACCTGAGAATACTTCCTGGGGCTGCAGAGGGTTTCTGCCGTGCCCTCGCCCGGGGACCCCGACGTGCATGCCGCGTCCTGGGATCGAAAGGCGGCGGCGGGAACGAGGCCCCGCCGGCATCGCGAGGCCCCGTCGCCGTGTGCCACATTCTTCGAGCCGTGCCGACGCGCGGGAGCCGCGGGGCTCCGAGGCGCGGGGCAGGAGCGCCCGTCGGCGCACGCGCGGTTGCGGGCGCGTGGGGTGGCGACGGGTCCCGCCTCCGCTCGAGAGCTCCGAGCGCAGTGGCCGCATCCGCGCAGGCGCCGGCGCGCCCCCTCTTCGGTCGTTGGATCGCTCCCCCGGCGCCCACGCGCCAGATCTACGGAGCTATGAGCCACCCTCGCTCTCTCGTCTAAAGCCCCCCCCCAGGCTTGCGAGCCGCAGCCCCTGACCCAGACCGAAGGGAGGCCGAGCCTCCGATGGCCGCGCCTGGCCGCCCTCGCAGGAGGAGGAGGAGGAGGAGGAGGAGGAGGAGGAGGAGGAGGAGGAGGAGGGGAAGAAAGCGGAGGAGGGTAAGACATGTCAGCAGGTGATTGGGCTGTGGGTTCGGAAGGGGCCCTCTGCTTTCCAGGCGGATCCCTTGTGAGCCCGTGAGAGGGCCCCAGCTAGGCTGGAGTATTGGAGCAACGGGGCTTCCCATCGTTCTTGCAGTGCTCATCAAGACAAGTCATTGGCCGCACCGTGTTCTCGAAATGTTCCTCGGGAATCTGTTCCCCGACCTCTCCCAGACTGGTCTTCGACGCGCTGTTCCCCTCCCCTTCCCCCACTTGTCTCCCACCTATGACGCAACGTCCCAAAAATATGTTCTATAGTGGGGGCCCTTGCCAAGAAACAGCCTGCTTGCCTCCAGGGTTTCCTGGGTTTCTTGGGTCTCGATGGCATTGCCATGGAAAGCGTGGCGCCCCCACTCCAAAAGTCGATGGACGTCCTGGGGTCTCAGGCTTGGGTTTCTTGTGAAGCCTTCTTGTGGACTGGCCTAGGTACGCGCTCGACCCCCAGAGGTCTGGACCCTTTCCCAGGGACCGGCTCTTCATCCGGAGTCGTTTTATTGACGGCCCCGAGGCCCGGCAAGGGTCCCCAGAGGCCGAGAACCTTAAAAAAGCTCCCGAGGTGTTTAAAAAAAACAAAACTTCCCGCCGTGTTTTTTTCACAAAACCTCCCGCAAATCTTCAATTACCCCAGTGCGACCCTACCTAGAAGTTGGAACCCCTAGGAAAGCAGCATTAGTTGCTATGCTATGCTATGCCATGCTATGCTGCGCTATGCTATGCGATGCTGTGCTGCGCTATGCTGTGCTAAGCTATGCTATGTTATGTTGCGCTGTGCTATGCTAAGCTATGCTAAGCTATGCTAAGCTATGCTAAGCTATGCTATGCTATGTTATGCTATGCTGCTCTATGCTATGCTACGCTATGATATGCCATGATGTGCCCTGCTATGCTAAAGCTCAACGAAGCTAAGATGAAGGTAAGCTAAGCTAAGATAAACCTGAGCTAAGATGAAGCTAAGCTAAGCTAAGATGACATAAGCTAAGCTAAGATGAGATAAGCAACGCTAAGCTACGGGGACGTAACTGGGGGAACCGGGGGGCGGATACTGGGGGAACCGCCCGGGGCGCTTTCCACTGCCCGGCCCCTTTCAGCCCAGAGAGTAAGAACCCTTCCAGGCAGAGCCTAGGTAGGGAAAGACCTCCCGTCGTGATTTTGTCACACGACGCGCGGCGGCCTGGCTTTGCCCCCCCCCCCCCCCCCCCGGAGGCCAACATGCTCACCGGCCGGCCCTGCGGCGTCCACGGGCTGCCCAGGCCCGGGCCCGTGGACGACTCCGCGGCGGAGCGGGAGGCGCTGGCCGCCGTGGCGCGGATGGGCTTCGTAGGCCCGGCCGGTGCGCCTCCGAGGAGGAATCAACGGCACCGTAACGGGTACTTACGAACGGGTACTTTGAATTTTTGCCGAAAGTTGCCACTTCGGGGCCTTTTTCTTGCATTGCAGCTTTGCCCACGTCGGGAAGGGTTGGGTTCGCTGGGTCACTGGCCAAAGTACCCCTTAGTGGAGTCCCCGTTCGAGGGGCGCTGAAGGAACATGGGGGTAGACATAAAAACTCGGAGGTCGGCGCGGAAATTCTCGGATCGGCGCTGGACCCCCCTCCCTGGCGCGCGGAGCGCGCCAGGGGCGGCGCCAGAGGCGCCGCCGGGGGGCCCCAGCGCCGATCCGAGAAGTCCGCACGGACCTCCGAGGTTTTATGTTTGCGTCACTTCTTGTTCCCCTAACCCATACCTCTACCCTTGGCCCTTTTTGCCTTGCTGGGCCTCCCGGGAGGCCCTCGTCGCCACCGCTGGATTGGCCTTGAATCTCTGGTCAGACAGAGCGCACCCCGGGAGAGGTCCCGGAGAGTAAGTAGCAGTATCGGTACAGTTGGCATCCTCAGTGCTGACCGGGGTGCGCAGTGCGGGAGGGCGGGTGTGTCGACTACAGTTAAGTCGAGCCTGTCCCTCTACAGTGGGAATGTGCGAAAATAGTCAGAAAATAGTGGGGGGGACGATTGTTTGACTTTTTTCTCGAGTTTGGGGGGATGCTTTTTAGTATTCTTTATTTTGCGTCCAGAATCCCCCTGGTAGGGGGGACAGGCCCGACTTAAGACTTCAGAGTCCGGCTTGACTAAGGAACGCCTGCTTTTCAAAAGGGGTCCGGTCGTTCTTTTGGTTCGCATGCGTTGCGCTACCTTTTTGGCGGCGAGCCCCCCTCGGACTTCGTAGACTTACTTGGAACGGAAGGGGCCTCGTTCCTTATGCTTCGTTCCTTGGGTCAGGCCGAATACTGCAGGCTTTCGAGTGACTTTTCTCGACTGGACGCAAGAGTGACCCTTCGGCGAAGGGTTGCTCGAAGTGGGCCTTCGCCGGAGTGGCCTCTGGTGCGGGCCCATTGGGGTCCCCCGATCGTCGAACGCGATGCGATGGTAGCGTCTTGCGCGCTTGTGTTTGGTCCCCCCGTGGCCCCCGAGAAGCCGCGTGCCAGAGGTCACTCTTGCCCAAGGGTCACGCTTGCGCGCAGCCGACTTCTCGCCGGAGTGACCTTCCCAGACATGATCGCGTCGTAGAACATTGGGGACGGGAGGTGTTTGGCCAGTTTCGGCCTCGGGGGGCCCTCGCCGGGCCTCGGGACCGTCAACGAGCGACTCAGGAAGAAACACCGGTCCCGGGGAAAGGGTCGGGATTTCCAGGGTTCACTTGGGCCTGTCCCTCTACAGGAGGGATATCCCAAAGTAGTCAAAAGTAGTGTCTAGGGGACACATTGTTGCTATGTTTGAGCATTTTGGATGTTTTGTCTCTCGAGTTGTTTTCATGTTTCGCCCAAAATCCCCCTGTAGGGGGGCAGGCCCGACTTAATTCCAGGGACCCCGTATTGAAAACAGTATGGGGACTATTTTTGATTGTTTTTTTTTGAGCATTTTTGAGTTTTTTTCTTCTGGAGTATTTTTAATGTTTCGCCCCAAATCCCCCTGTAGGGGGACAGGCCCGACTTAATTCCAGTGACCCCGTGTTGAAAACGTCAGGATGTCGGCTGTCCCTCTACAGGAGGGATACCCACAAGTAGACACAAAAAAGTATAGGGGACAATGTTTTACTATTTTTGAGCATGTTGGATGTTCTTTTTCTGGAGTATGTCTTATTTTTCGCCCGAAATCCCCCTGTAGGGGGGCAGGCCCGACTTGGTTCCAGTAGGGGGCCATGTGCGAACCCTACCCCTACCCTCCACGATTTCTGAGGGGGAGGGTGGGGTCCACTCAATTCAGGAGCTCCCGAGCGGAGTGAACCCCACCCTCCCCCTCAGAAATCGTGGGGGGTAGGGGCAGGGTTCGCACATGGCCCCCTATCCAGGGGCCCCGTGTTGAACACAGCAGGACGTCGGGCTGTCCGGGCTTCGCCGGAGGGACCTGGCGGCGCGGGCGCAGAGGGGCCCCCCGGGTGGCGGAGCGCGGAGCGGCAGCCGCGGCCTGCGCGCCCGGGGTTGGGCCCCACGGTGTGGCCCGCCCCGCGCGGCCCCCGCGTGAGCCGCGCACGTCATGTTGGTATTGTCCATACCCGGGAGGGGAAAACAAAAAAACACAGACGCAAGTCATCGTCGATTCCCCCGAAAATATGGGACAATATGGGAAGTGGGGGGGAAGAGAAAAACCCAGAACATATAGGAAAACATGGGGAATCCTGTTATTTGTGTGTATTCACTTGTGTGTCCCAGGGCCCCTTCAATTAATATGATCGCTCATATTTTGATCCCTATTCGCATGTTTAGTCTTACTATTAATAGTTTTACGATTCCGAATGCTAGTACCAGTTGTATTTTCCGAATTATTACTGCTGTTGTCTCTTGCCCAGGGTCACTCTTGCGTGTAGCCGAAGTTGTGTCTGGCCCTCCTGTCCTGGGCTCGTCGTTTTGAGCACAGCAGTAATTAGTGTTCCTCTCCTCCCGCCTCATCCCTGCCCCTGTTTCGCGCCCCGCCTCTTCCCTGGCTGCTGCCAGTTGCCCTGGCTGCGCACCTGAGAGATCCGTCGGAATTGCGTCCGACGCGCACCACCCTAGAGCTCGCCCTCCCTTGGTGAGAAGCTGTTCAGAGCAGAACAAGACCAGATTGGGCACTTCACAGTCAGCGAGCGCTTGACAATATGACCTGAGGTTCAGAAGGATGAGACCCGAGCGCCTGCATTATCCATCTTGCCTCCTGCTGCTCCTTCCCCTCCTCTTTCCTTCTGCGGATAGGGATCGGATGAGGACCAATCCGCTCCAGAGCGTTCAAGAGCGCTCTCAGAGTGTCCAGGAAGGCCACGGCGCCCGATACATCCTTCAGCGCCGCCGAATCTCAGAGATTCTTGATTTATCCTCATCCGAATTTATCCTCGTCTTGGCTTCGTCTTACTCCTATCTGGCTGTTGTTGGCTACCATGCTGCCCACTCGACATGCTACCAGTCGCACTGTGCCCGTCTTCGGCTCGTTCCTGTTCATCTAGGAGTCCCCTTCCCATCAGCGGGGGAGCTGGCAGTTTTCATCATCGGTGGTCTCAAACATCGAGGTAAAATCGGAGTGTCCTGTCGGTGCGGGCTCGCAGGAATCCTCCCAGCTCTGGCCTCTGCGCTTGGATTTGGATGTCGCGCGGCCCCCTGAGGCCGGGCACCAAAAGTCATCCATGCCCAGGGTCACTCTTGCGCGTAGACGGAAAAATCAACAACCACGACGGGTCCCTTTTGCAACCAGGTCGACCACGCTACACTTTAGAGCTGCCGCTTCACAGCCAAGAGGGGCTCTCTCTTCCCCAGCTGGCCATGGTTGACGCCCTCAGCCCCTCGGACGTTCTCCAGAAGATCTTGTTTCGCCGCGCGCAGAGGGGGGGGTCAGGGGCAGGGGGGAAGGCTTCCTATATGAATAGGAGGACGAGGCTGCTTCTTAGAAGGCGCGGGCGTTCTCTCTAGAATTGTGAGGCCGGCGCCCTCCAAGGGGCAGCCTCCTTCTAAAGAAGCCTTCCCCCACTCCCCACTCCTCCTCCCACTCCTCCTCCTCCTCCTCCTCCTCCTCCTCCTCCTCCTCCTCCTCCTCCTCTTCCTCCTCCTCCTCCTCCTCCTCCTCCTCCTCCCCCTCTTTGGCGATCTCCAGGCGGCGCCCCTCCGACAATCTTCCGAGGCCCTGAAGGGTGAGTTCGACGCTCCCCAGAGGCCCTCGAGCGGTCTCCAGGGGCCCCTGGACGCGTTCCTGAAGGTTATGCCTGTGGGGCCAGCAGTGCGTGAAGGTGAGGGGGCCATCTGCAACACCAAATGCCAGAGTGCCTGGAGTCGTTCGGGTGCAACCTCAGTTGTTTCAACCATGAACGCAGGGACAGATTGCTCAAACGAGCACGTGTGTTTCATGCAAGGATGGAAAACAGTCGGACGAACTCCGGTGGCCTCTGGACGGGGGCGTCCTCGAGGTCGCGAAGTCGTTCGCGCTTCGCGCTTCGCGATGCGGTTCCGATCACTCCTCGTCCTCCCCTTTCTCTCCTGGGTGGGCGGCGCGAGGGCACGAAGTTTTCTTGCGCTTCGCGCAGCGCGCAGCGCGAAGTGAACCGCCCTTGCCTCCCATGCCCTTCGACGATATCCGGAGGCCCTTTGCATGTCCTGCAGATGCCCTCTGACCATCTCCAGAGGCCCCTTGGAGTGAACCCGCATCATAAGGATGGGCAACCTTCCCCAAGGGTACCCTTGCACCCTTGCCTCCTCGGTCCATCCTTGGCCATCTTCGTTGGCCGCGCCCCTCTCGAGAAGCTTCGCAATGGGCGTCCAAGGCTCTTGCACATCCTTACCGCGCCTCCTCATGACACGGGTTGACTGTACAGATGCCCTGCGACCATCTCCAGAGGCCCCCTCGTACGATCTCCAGCGGCTGTCGGATGAGCTCCACTGCCCCACCAGGTCTGTGCCTAGCGCGCCTCTCCGGCGTCCTCGGACGCCAGACGCCCGTGGGACTCCTCCGCCTTAGCCCTGGGACGACCCCCAGAGGAAGCCATGGGCGCCCTACAGAGGCCCACCTGGGCGCCATTCGTGCGAGTTCGGGCGCCTTCCAGCTGTGACGGTCTTGAGCCTCTTCGAGCGAATCGGCTTCCAGAGGGCGTTCAAGGGCCTGCGGAGGGCGTCCCACGGCCTCTGGAGATAGCCGAAGGGCCTCTCAGGGGCGCCCAACGGCCGCTGAGAGGCGCCCAACGGCCTGTGGGCGCCTTCCAAAGACCGTTAGGCGCCCCTGAGAGGCCCTTCGGCTATCTCCAGAGGCCGTGGGACGCCCTCCGCAGGCCCTTGAACGCTCTCTGGAAGCCGATTCGCTCGAAGAGGCTCAAGACCGTCACAGCTGGAAGCCAGCGGAACGTGTTACTGGATGGCTACTCAGGTGGAGGGTGTTGCAGTTTTCGGGCAGCCGGGCATCTGGGCCTCTCATGACATAGCACTTGCGTGCATCCGCCATGTATTGTCGTAAGCGTTGGCAGTTCATTACCACATGTACGCCCTGCCACGCCACAGCGACAATGTACAAACCACGGATGACCATGATGCGTGAGTTGCTTCTGGCCGTCGCGACATCGCAGTATCGTTAATGCGCGGCCCGTTCTCCTCCGTCTCTTCTTCCTCCTGCTTCTCATGCTCCCCCTCCCCTGCCATTCCCCTGCCTTCGGATATCCTCCACCGCATGTTTGTGCCACTCCGCCGCCTTCCTCCTCACGGTTGCCGTGCTCGTCGTCGTCTTATTTTCAAGGAGCCGGAGAGAGAGGGAGAGGGAGAGAGAGAATGAGAGAAAGAGGGCATAGAGCGAGAGAGAGATAGAGGGCGATAACGAGAGCGAGAGGGAGAACGAACAAACAAGATGGATAGTGCGAGCGAGAAATAGATATGTATAGAGAGAGAGCGAGAACAGGAGTGGACCAGCCCAAGGACCGTGCACATCACCTCGTCTCAGGAGGGGCCCGCCGGCAGCCGAAGACTGCAGCAAAAAGCACCTCCCGCCTTGACCTCATCACGACGCCAGGGGCTGCCTTGGGAGGAGGGTCCCTGCTCCAGGGCCCCAGGGCTCGTCGGGAGGAGAAGAATCACACAGAGGCGCAGAGGAAACTGTGGGAAGTGGAGGGGGGAGATGAACCTTGAGAAACCTTGGAAACTACTGGGGGATCCTGGGATCAGGCGATCGCAAGCATGGATATTTAAAGAGGGCGTGGATTAGCAACGGGTCCCGTTTCCATGGGACGTTGCGGATTTCCGCCGCCGAGCGAGGCGGCACCGGCCCGAATTTTGGGGAGGGCACCTCCCCCGATCCACGGATCTGGCGAACGCGCGCTAGATCCATGGATCGCTCATCCATGTATGCGCGTCCCCGAGGGCTGTGCCCACTGATCCGCAAGTCGGGCACGTCCCACTACAGGGGGAATAATCAAAAGCAGACAAAACATAGTGTGGGGACCATGCTTCGCCGATTTGTTTTAGCTATGTTTGCGTATTCTCCGCTCTTTTTAATTTTTTGCTCCAGAATCTGCCCGTAGTCAGAGCGTGAATTACCTACCCCGCTTTCGCTTCCAGGCAAAACCAAGTCATACCACGCGCCCCCCCGCCGAGTGGCCTGACCAGCGCGTGCCGTCGTTTGGCATCGCTCGGCAGCTCTTGGAAGCGAGAGTGGTCAAAAGCGAGGTAGGTTCGTTTGCCCCCTATGTAGGGGGATGTTCGATGCTCAGTTTGGGGACCTTTCTGGGGCCTACATAATGGATCTGTTCGACTCAAGTTCGATTCAACTTCGACTCAACTTCGACTCAGGTTCGACTCAGCTTCGACTCAGCTTCGACGCGGGTCGACGGACGTTCGACGCAGCTTCGACGAGCGAGTGGAGCGAGTAGCTCCAAGGAGGTCCCCAGAACGATAAGCTAAAAGGGACGTGCCTGGCCCCGCCCTCCCTCCGTGTGCCCCCTGGGCCCCGGTCGTCTCCGGCGGCCGCCGGAGGGCGGGAGCTGCGCGGCGCGGGGGGCAGCAATCCGGAGGGGAAGAAACACACAGACACATCTAATCTTCGATTCCCCCAAAAAATAAGGGGAAATATTTGGGAGGTGGGGGGGAAGACAAAACCCAGAAAATATGGGATAATATGGGGATTTGTTTTATTTGTGTGTATTTATTTTTGTGTCCTCGGGCCCCTTGAAACAAGCCGGCGGGCGGCCGCGCCGCCCTGCCCCGCGGGCCTTTGCCCCCCCGCGGGCGAGGCCTCACCGAGGAGTGGCCGACGTCCGTCTGCCTCTTCCACGCGCGCTTCGGGGGCGAGTGCTTCCAGGCTCCCCCCCGTCCTCCCCTCCGCCCCTTCTTATCGTTGCCCCAGACGGGATCGCGCCGTGCAACAGTCGGGGCGGGAGGTTCTGGGCCAACTTCGGCCTCTGGGGGCCCTCGCCGGGCCTCGGGACCGGCAGAAGAGGACTCGGAATGAAGAACTGGTCCCGGGGAAAGGGGTCGGGACTTCCAGGGACCCCGTGCTGAAAAAATCTGGATGTCGCGTGTCTGGGACGTTGCATCTTCGGGGGGACATTTCGTGTCCCTGCTAGTGGCAGTCGACGCGGGCTCGACGCGGGCTCGACGCGGGCTCGACGCGGACTTCGACGTGGCTTCGACACGTCGGCACATATTCGACTCGGATTCGGCATGGATTCGGCGCGTTCGACATGGATTCGACACGGACTTGGCGTGGATCGCAGCGCGACGGGACAGACAAGGTCCCCCGAAGATGCAACACAATCCCCCTTCCCAGGGCTCGTTTCGATTCCCCCGATTCGATTCGACTTCGATGGCTGCCGATTCCGATTCGATCCGATTTTGGATTCCGATTTGGACTCCGATTCCAGATTCCCTAGCCTGCCGAGTTCCGCCGCTTCGACGTCTCCCGACTCGGCTCTCCCGCCGGTCCACTGAATGTCCATCGCCGAACCGACTTGCCGATTCGATTCTGAGAACGTCTGCCCCTCCGCCTCCCCCGCGCTGCCCGAAAGCTCCGTCCCTGCCAGCGTGCGCGTGTCCTGCGCGCTTCGGGGCCTCGGTCCTCGCGCGGTCGCGGCCCTGCCGCCGCCGTGCCGCTGCCCTCGGCCCTCGCTTCGCTCGCACTTTCGGGCCCGCGTGTGGTCTCCACTCGTCGCTGTGATGAGAGCTCGGGACTGAGCGCCTGGCCCCAACCCGCGCCCAAAGCGAGCCCTCATCCCCCGCCTTCTGCCTCTTCTGCGGCCTCCTCTGAGGTCTTCCGCCGCACCTCGGCGGCCTCTCGCCAGGTGCCTTTCTTTTCTCACACGGCGCTCTGAAGCACTGCTCAACTGCTCCTTCTCCTCCTCCTCCTCCTCCTCCTCCTCGTGCTCCTCCTCCTCCTCCTTCTCTCCTTGTTTTTCTATCGTCTTGTGTGCGTCGTCTTCATCGTCATTCTCATGGTCCTCGTCTTTTCGGCCGGAAGTTTCTCTCAGAAGAGCTCGGGCGCTCCTCGGCTGGCGTCGGAGGAGGATTTCTTTCAGTGTCTGGACGTTGTGTGGGTCTCTGGAGGCGCTGGTATTATTCCAGGAACCTCCTGGGAGCTCCGGGCGCCTTCTTCAAGGCTCCCTTCGGCCGGAAGTGTTGGAGGAGAACAATACAGATACCACCGCTGTTGGGGCCCTCCCTGAAGTCCTTGTTGAAACAGCTGGATCTGCCACGGTTGTAGTCTCCACTCCTGGACTCGCCGTCGTTTTGGATTTGATATTTGCCTCACTGCACTGCTCACTCCCATCTTGCCAGCCCTTGGAGCGTGGTTTTTTATTGCTTGGGGCATGACGGGCGGCATGGCCCCCGCCCCCCCCTCCCCCGTGACGTAACGCTCCCGCCCCCCCCAGTGCGCTCTGGGCACTGCCGTCGTACGCATCTGAATCCGCATAGGTGTCCGCATAAGAATCCGCAGAGGAGTCTGGTCCGCATTGGGATTCTCATGGGGATCCGCATAGGGATGCGCATGCGCATCCGCATAGGGACCCACCTGGATCTGGGTAAGGATCCGCATAGGGATTCGCATAGGATTCGCATGGCAATGCGCATGGGCACCCGCATATGCATTCGCATTGGGATCCGCATAACCATCCGCATAGGGATCTGCGCAGGGATCCTCGAAGGTATCCGCTGAGGTATCGGCATAGGGATTCGCATAGGGACCCACTGGGGTCCGCATAGGGATCCGAAATTGTGCTTTTGTGTTCCCAGTGAAAACTGTTCCTCCTCCTCCTCCTCCTCCTCCTCCTCCTCCTCCTCCTCCTCCTCCTCCTCCTCCCTCTCACCCTCTTCCTCCTCCTCCTCCTCCTCCTCATTTTTTCCCCTCCTCCCCCTTTCTCCTCCTCCCCCTCTTCTCCGCGTCGCCTTTCCTGGGTCGAGCCATTTCGGCGCCGAGAGGCGGCAGAGGCCTGCGTGGCAGCGGACCTGCGGGCCGCCCAGCAGGCCCGTGCGGCGGCGGACCTGCGGCCGTGGCTCGTGGCCCCTGGTCGTGGCGCGTGCGCGCACGCGCTGTGGCTCGCCGGGCCGGACGAGAGAGGGGGATTGGGACAGGGGAGGGGGGGTTACGAAATTTGCTGCATGCAGCTGGTTTCGGCCCCACCGAGGGGCCCATTCCTCGATACATAGCCGCCTCCGGCGCCGGGAGGCGCCGGGAAAATCAGCTACGTGAGCTGATTCTCAACCGCCCCTTTGCTATCCCCCCTTTCGCCCGACCCGGCATTGCCTGCCCTTCCATTCCTCCCCCAGTCCTTGCCATTCTTTCACGCGGGCGCTCACGGGCGTCGTGGGCTCAAAAAGTGCAGGATTGCACGCAGGGCAAGAAGAAACAATGTCCACAGTCAGTTCGCACATCGAATTTGATAGTATCGGCCGCCCCCACGGTTTTCTGGAACTTGTTCCCGTCGGGATCCATTAGGGCCCCAGAGATGCACGCAGGCCTTGTGGTGCGCGCAGGCTGTGGTGCATGCAGATGGTGCTGAACTGGTCGTGGCTCGTGGCCCCTGGTCGTGGCTCGTGCTCGCAAGCCGCTGTGGCGCACGCGGAAGCGCCACCATTTTGCCTCCCCCCCCGTTGTCGTCGTCGTCGTCGTCGTCGTCGTCGTCGTCGTCGTCGTCGTCGCTCGTCGCTCGTTGCTCATCGTCGTCGTGCGCGCGGGCGCGGTTGTGGTGCTGAGCCACGCGGCGAAGGGGGGGGGCGTTACGTCATACCCCCCCCGCACCCCCCCGTGACGCCCGTCATCGCCGCAAATAAAGAAACGCGCTTTTATTTGACTCCAGCACGTGATCTCCGAGCTTTGGCGGACAAAATCGCGCGTCGCCCAGCGAACGTAATTCTTTACAGTTCGCGTATCTCCAGTTGTTTGGCGCGGCCCGTAAGCTCCGCAGTCGCGTCCGCCAGCGCCGGCAGCGAAGTCAATACCTCCACCAGCCCATCCAACAACAAACGCCAGGAGTTGCCCTGATCAGGGATGCGCAGCAGCATGCAGTTCTTCACGCTCTAGGAGCCGCCTGGAGTCAGCTTGGGGCCACTGGGGCCGTGTTATTATGGGCTCTGTTCGGGGTCATGCTGGAGGCCGTTGGGGCTCCTTCTTGAGGCCCTGTTGCAGGCCTTGAGGGGCCATCGGGGGGGGCCATCGATTGAAGAGGGGGGGGGGTAAACTTCGGAGGTGGTATCGGGGCTCCACTGCCACTTGGGACGGTCATGGCGTTTATAAGAGGCAGGTTGGAAGCTGTCTATGGCTGTCTAGTACGATCGTGGAGGCCATCTTGGGTTACCTGGGGCCCTCCCGTGGCCATCCTGGGCCGTTTTGGACGTTCCAACCCCTCGCGAAACGCCGTGGTCAGACCCCTGGAGAGGGTTTAGGGGGAGAGGCAAACCTCTTCCCGAAGGGAACGAGGCGGTCGGAAGAATTGAGTGCATGAAACACCTGCGCCCAGAGTGTTGGAGGGATCTGGCCGCATGTGGCAGGCTCCAACACCGTGCCAGCGCAGCATCGAATATGTGCCGAGCTCACCCGAGGAGGCTCGGCATACACCAGAGCTCTGCAGGGTCCCCGTGGGCCCGCAGCACGCTCTCGGGCCATCATGTTGGCGATGATTGTATCAGGCTTCCCACAAAAAAAACTCAGCCGACGCAAATTGAAGTCGTCGGGCCGGTGGTATATCAGAAGCTGGATAGGTTTGGTCGCGCATCTTATGTACGAGATGGTGTGGGTGCCACGCCGATCACTGCGTCGACGGCGCCTGCAGCGAACCATCGCGGCCCGTGATGCTATGGAAACATGTGGCCAGACGTTGGGCCAGAGTTTGGCCAAGCTAGTGGGCTATGGGTACCCCCCGCCGTAGCGCAGACCCTCTAGAGAGTACTCCAGGGAGCCAGAGAAAAAGGTTGATGAGGATGATGACGATGGTGCCGATGATGGTGATTATGACGACGAGCATCACGGCGACGATGAGGATGAGGATGGTAATGATGGATGGTGGATGATGGATGACGAATGATGTTGGTGTTGATGATGATGCAGGTGGATTGTGATGATGATGATGATGATGATGATGATGATGACGATGCGGGCGATGATGACGAGGATGGTAATGATAATGATGATGCTGATGCTACTGATGATGTTGGCTGTGGTGATGCAGATGATTGTCATGCTGATGATGATGATGGTGCAGGCGATGTTGATGGTGATGGTGATGATGAGGAGGCGGACTTCGATGGCGATGGCGATGATACGGATGATGATGCTGAGTATGATGATGATGATTATGATGATGATGATGATGATGATGATGGTGTTGCGGGTGATGTTGATGATGTTTATGGTGACGACCATGATGATGACGACGATGGTGATGATGATGTCGATGATACTGATGATGCTAATGACGATGGTGCTGACCATGATGATCATGATGATAATGATGCTGTCGATGAGGTCGTCGATGATGATGATGGTGATGATGATGATGATGCTAATGAGGATGATGATGACGATGACGAAGACAATGATGTTGATTATGCCGACGACAGCGACGATCATGCTGATGATGATTACTGTGATAAGTTCTGACGGCGACGACGGCGATGATGCTGATGCTGATGCTGACGCTGATGATGCTGTCGCTGATGATGCTGATGATGATGATGACGATGATGATGATGATGGTGCTAATGATCATGATGCTAATGATTGTGTTGATGACGATGACAGTGATGATGATGGGGCTGCTGGTGCGAGGACGATGAGTAGGAGGAGTATGACGGTTGGTCGTGATGATGGGGTGGAGGAGGAGGACCAGCGTAAACCCAAGAGTCAGCAATGATGTTTGAATCATCCCTCCCCCAAAGCTCCCTTTGCGTAGGCCTCTACAACGGTTCATTTCCACTGAGGGAAATGCCTCGTTGGAAGACAACCGCTTGAAGACCCTGAAGCATGCCAAAACATGTTTCTCGGTATTTAACGCCACGGATCAACCTGACTGTTGCGCCTTGACGATCCAGAATCGCACCAGAACGCCGTTCCTGGGATTTCAGCACCGCGGATCCTCGTAACCGTTGCACCCTCAAAATCCCGAATCCTGGCAAAACACCATCTCTGGTCGCGATCATTGGAATCCGTGAAACCTTGAAAGAAATAATGTGCATGGCGCTTAGGCGAGAGCCACATTTTGAAAACGGGTGATCCTCAATCCGTGGAGCTCTTGCACATGTTTAAAAAGAATGCGCGCGGCGCTACGGCGAGAGCTACATTTTGAAAGCCACCCGCCCTCCATCTGTGAAGCGGTTGCCAATGGTTCAGTTTCCGGGCCATAAATGGTGAGGCAAGCTCAGGCGACACGCCTGGACCGCCCTAAACATTTGCCGCGGGGTGCCACAGGGAGAAGGCATTCATAAGGACGAGGAATGGAGAAGGATGAGGATGAGGAGGAGGAGGAGGAGGACCAGAAGCAGCATCAGCAGAAGAAGCAGGAGGCGGTCTCTTCTTGGTGACTCTCGGGGCCCTTGTGCGGCCTCTCGCCTCCGCTCTCGGGGGCCTCTCGGGGGCCCCCTCGGGCCGTCTTGGGGGCCGCCCTTGGCCCGCCGGGCGCCTTCGCAGGCCGTCTTGGTGGCCCCTCTGGGCCAGTTTGGTGGCCTGCTGGTCTACAGTGAGCGGCTTGAATAAGGAACACTAACTTTTCAAAAGGGGCTCCGTCGTTCCTTAGGCTTGCATGCGTTATTCATCGTCCCGTATACGCTATTGATTAGTTATCGTTCCTTATGCGTTATTCCCTGGAGAAAAACAGGGGCTTCGTTCCTCATTGATCGTTCTTTAGGTCAGGCTGATGACGGTATTTCAGAGCCGCCTTGGAATTCTTTGGCGATCTTGGACCCCTCTCGGGGCCGTCTTGGCGGCCGCCGGGGCCATCGCGGGGCCCGCTCGGAGGCCTCTGGCCATCTGGGGCTGTCGGGAAGCCGAAATGGCGCCCACGTGTAACCGTCGTGCAAACATCTGGTACAGTCGGGGCGCTGAGGAAGGAACCCTTTTCGTTGGGGAGGGGCTCCGCGATCCTTAAGTGTTTCGCAGTTTGCCTCAAGTTTTCCTTATGTTTTCGATCGGAGATCGAAGTTTAACTTGTGGAAAAAAGGGGCCTCGTTCCTTATTTTGGGTTCCTTAGGTCGAGGCCCCGACTGTACGCACATGCAGGAGATGTGCGTCTCTCGAGGCTCTCGTGGGGATCCTCGTGGAGGCCCTCATCGGCTGTGCCGAGAGCCTTCGGAGCCTCTTTGGCCGTATCGGCCACTTTTCGGTCATCTTGATGCATCCTGGCGGATGGCGGTCTTGGAGATGTCTTGGGTCAGCTTGACTCTTCTTGGCGGTCTTGGAGGCGTCTTGGAGACCGTCTGGAGCCGTCCTGGTCGCCTTGGAGACCCCCTCTGGACCACCTCGAGCGGGAGAGCCGACGGGGACCAACTCTTCCACACAGTGCCCAAACATCTGGCACGCTGGGCCATCTTCTTTCAAGAGGGCCTCAAGACGGCCCCAAAGAGCCCCCAAAGGACCCCAGGAATGACCAGAACTGCAGCATGCATTAATTTTCGTTCGGTTTGTTGCTAGATGCTTGTTCCTCATCGCGCTCCCTCGTGCAGTGCATGCGCTTTCCGTCCCCGTGCCGAGCAGGTTGCAAGCACAGAGGCGGTAGACCGATTCGCCTTCGGCCCATTCTGCCGACGTGCGTGGGTCGTGGGCCAGAGGCGTGTTGGATGCCTCCAGGGGTATCGGAAGGCAGTATCGAGCTGCCTCCCCAGGGTATCGGGAGGCGTGCTGGATGCCTCCAGAGGCTTAGGTGCCGGGAGGCAGTATCGAACTGCCACGGCGGCCTCCGAGCAGGTTGACCACGCACGCCCCGGCCAGAGGCCGGGGAGCATGCAGCAAGACCAGAGGACGCCTCCCGCATTTGCTCACGTTCATTTTATATGTATAGATACATATGTGTAAATACATGTGTATATGTATATGTATGTATGTCTCCAGGGGTCTCTTGGGATGCCTTCCGCCTCGTGGCGGCTCATTCGTTGGGGGGGCCTCGACGGGTTGGGCCCCCGTTGGGGCGCCCGGGGGACCTCCTCGGGGGCCATCCTTGGGGGGAGCGGTTCCCACGTCCCCTCCCTGTTCCCCCTCTCGTGTGGGCAACACTTGTGTCCATATCCACTGCAGCTTGAAGTTTCGGGCTCCCTTCCCCAGAACCCCGAAGCGCATTTGACATGGATAAGACTCTGGCCCCTAGGCTCGATGTTTGTCCATGTCCAGTGCGCCTCGGCCTTGCAGCGCCCCTTCCGAAAAAGTCCAAGACGCACTGGAGGTGGATGTACATGATGCCCGCATCTTGGCCCCCTTTTGTAGCCCTGTCGGGGGGGGTCGCGGGCCATCTTGGGGGGCCCTATAGATCGTCTTGGGTTCTCGTGGGGGCTTCTTGGGCCGCCTTGGGAGGATCTTGCGAGCCTCTTTCGACGGCTGAGGGGCCCAGAAGCTCGATAGCGCGAGCGCTCCAACATCTTGCAAAAGAATTTGCGACACCAGTAATGCTTGCGTCTTGGGGCCCTCTTGGGGGTCCAGATGGGGCCGTCTTGGGTCGTTTGGGAGACCTCTTCCGCCTCGTCGCCGTTCTGGGCCGTCTCGGTGCGCTCTTGGGCCAGGTCGGGTCCTCGTATACTGTCCTGGGCCCTTGTTGGCAGTCTTGGCGTTCTTGGGCCTCGGGAAAAGTCACCTGACAAACCCTGCGAGTCAAGCGCCACGCCCCGAGCGGTCTGTGATACGGCCTCTGGCCCCCTGGAGTGGCATTCGCAGTTCTTCTCGCTAAGACCCCGGAGCGATTTGGTGACACCCCACTCAGTGCATTATCGTCATGGAGACGAGTAAAGGACGGTGGACGTGATAACGATGGCAATGAGAGACACAACACCAGTTGTTGTCAAAAACTTGTTCGAATCTCCTCATCCACCTTACTTACACATGCTACGATTTAGAAAAGGGGGCGTTGAACACAACAACGGCGACGAGAACGAACCATAGGGTGGAGACATAACGAGTAACAAAACTGATATTTAGTTGGCGCGTGCAGTAAACTCATGCGGACCATGCAGGGCGAAGAGGCGGCTGAGGTAACGGAGGATGAAGGGGAGGAGGAAAAGGAAGAGGAAGAGGATTCTGGAAGAACCAGAGGAGGCTTCCCCCCCCGCCTGGGTACCCTCAGGCCTCTTTCAAGAACGTGCGGCCCGGGAAGGCAAACCACAGGTGCCATCTTCAGACCCGCGCGGTGGGGAGTCCCTCGACTGTTTGCGCGGTTGCCGATCGCGCGCATGACACTCGCTCGTCTCCGACCCCCCCCCTTCTTACCAGTAGTTGGCAGCAATTACGGCTGCCGTGCCAGCGTAGCATTCTATGCGTCGACCCTTCGAAGCACTCAGAAGGCAGTGACATGCGACAGCGCCCACCCCTAGGCTCCATGGGTCCGCATGGTTCAGAGAGCTGTTGCACGTGACGGCTCTGTTTCAAGATCTCGTGTTGGCTGTTTGCACGTCAGTTGTATCAGCCCATCTCTCCAGTTGACAGAAGGCCGTGACATCCCACATCTGATGTCATCCTTCATGGCCCTGAGGCCGTGCCATGTTACATCGTTGCCACCCAGCCGTCAAAGAGCACCGTCCAACCTACCCCCGTCCCCACTGGGCCATGGTAATTATGGGAGCCCCACCAGCCCACCCTCCCAAATGGGGATAGGCCCTGCTCGGCTCGAAAGAACAGGCATGCATCCCCACCCAGGTGGGCAAGTCGGCCAGTGGCGCCAAGGCCACGCCAGTGGTGGTGGGGATCGGTTCAGCGATTCTGGATCAATATGGCCGGCACTCGTTTTGAATGCAGCAGATTGCTGTCCCTCCCTGCATCCTCCCGCGTCCTCTCACTTCCTCCCGCCTGCTCCTCGGTTTCCGCCCCAAGCTTCCTGCGCCGTCTCTCCTCCTGCCTTCCTCGAGTGACTCTCCGCTCCAGCTCCCTGCTGCGGTCTGCAGCGCGTGCCATTGCCGCCGCCTTCCGGCGGGGGTGGTGTGCGTCTGGACGGGGGCCACCACACGCGGATCCGGCGAGTCCTCGCCCTCCGCTGGTGATCCCAGACAGTCAGCAGTCACCCGCATGACCAACTGCGGCGGTACAGTGGTAGTCGTTGCGCCCCAGGGGAAGCGTTTCTCGCGGCCTCCCTCGAAGACGCTGCACAACGATCGACCTGTCAGAGTTCCGCACGGATTTTTCTGGATCGGTGCTGGGCCCTTCGGCGACGCCTCCGGCGCCGTCCCCGGCGAGCTTCGCGCGCCAGGGAGGGGTCCAGCGCCGATCCAAGGAATCTGCGGGGACCGGAGATGTTTTGTTTATGAAGTTGTTTGTTCTTCTGCTCTCAGTACCGTCGGCCCTCGGTGGCGTTTTCTGGAGTGGTACGAGGATCCTACAGGATTGGCCAGGGACGGGATATGGTGCGTATTGAAACCTCGAAGGACCTGCTCGGCATGGATCTCGTGACGCCCAGGTGTGATTCTCAACACCTGCATGCGCGGTGCGTCAGCCGAAGAGTTGTCTTGCGAGGTGCCTCAGACACAACATGGGTTAACTTCAGATCCTTGATGATTGAACCAGCTTAGAGCAGACGTTTGGTCGAATCAATTGCTAAGGTGGCCTGCTGGCAAGTCCTCCAAACAAGCATCTATCCTCGTTTCTCTCTTACGCAGTTCGTTGTTCTGGCGCCCCTTCAGCGTGGCCATCCATAGCAATTGAGACCATCGCCGCCTTGAACAGTGATGGTGATTCGGTGCAGCAAGCGGATCGTCCAGTTCTGGCATCCGCTGCGCCGAGGCTGCACTTCCCACATGCATTTCAGAACGGATGACAAGTGCAGGTTTGTCAACGATAACTTCCTGCATGGGAATACCCGCGCGCTGTTAATGAAGACACCGATCACTAAACATATGTCACTTGAGCGGCCCAAAGGTCACGCTGCCGGTGTAGACACCACTTGGCCCATAACGATTCAAGCCGATGTAGGCTCTATACGACTACCCTTACCTCTTCCCTTATTCTTCATTGCCCATCATTCCTTCCATAAATGGTCTCTCCTCCCCCTTGCCATCCCCCTTGCTTGTTTCGAGTGCTAAGGTACGACACGTTCGTGGGCTACATCACCTGGAGCCCCGAAGTAGGGGTCGAAGCACTTTCTTCGAGCGTCTCGAACGCCTTCTCCTCGTCGTATTCATCTTTTTGTAGGTGTACTTATACATCCAACTGTATCATGTACATGTCTCTCTCCGTTTCTCTGTCTAAATCGTTATCATCCTCTCCTTTCTCTCCTTCACCTTTCATCCTCCTCCTCCTCCTCCTCCTCATTCTCCTGTCCTCGCCTCTCCTCTCCTCCTCCTCCTCCTCCTCCCTCCTCCTCCTCCTCCTCCTCTTCTAGCCGCTCCAGTTCACCGGGTGTGATTTTGTGAGCATGTCTTTAGATCGGATCGTGGTCACGAGCTAGCGCCACGACGACCTTTCAGGTGAGCGCCACGATGAGAGGATTGCGCCTCTTCCTGATTCTATTTGGTCTGCACTTAAGCCGTAAACTGGTGGCCAGGGGCCCAGTCTGACCCTCAAGATCTTCCCTTGACAGAAAACAGGGTGCGCGCCGCGGGAGGGACACCTTCATTGACAAGCGCAGTGGGCACCGGGGAGGATCCACAAGACTTCATCTTGAGAAGTGAGGTTTCAATGCAGCCACAACCACCACAGAGCCAAGCATCCTGAAGGACGCGTGGGCCGAAGAGTGTGCGATTGGCACCTCCTCGGGAAAACATGTCCATGCAGAAAGCATGCAGAAAGAATGCGTGCACCCAGAGAATCAGATGTGAAGCCGCAGAACAAGAGGCGGGAGGAGGGAGGAAGAGGCGGGGGAGCAAGAGGAGCAGAGGGCGGCGAAGATGGCAGACCTGCAGTCGCTCTGCACGGCCATCACGGATGCTGGGTCGATTTGTGCGCTTCGTGAGCCCATTGCTGTCCGGGTCGCCCGCGCCGTCTGCGTCTCACCCAGATCTTAGGGGTACCGTCCGGCTGACATACGGCTTGCTTGACCAAGGAATTGGCCCCTCCCGAGGCGATCTTGCGATACGGGCGTGTCTGCCTATCAAGCAGCAGCTGGGATAGAGGTTCGGCGGCGGCCTGCTTCAGAACGTCCGTGTTGGTAGCCCGCGATAGGTGCGAATGTTGTGTGCCAAGAAGCCTCTGTAGACACCGGCAGTGAAAAAAGCATCCAGCCTGTTTCTGTCGACGGACAGGAGCCAAATATAATCAAGATAATACAGCAATTTGCCCAACACGCATCTCCCGTGCACCTTGTACTTCTGCTTCCACCCGACTGATATCTGACCCCAAATCTGCGCTAACTGCTTGGAAATATTCTGTGCTTCGCCCAATCTTCTTGTCAGCTCGGGGCTCGCTCTTGCATCACACGTGATCATCCCGCCCAAGTAGACCGCTTCCCGGACTGTTGCAGTCGGACCTCCGTCTGGGCATTCAATGTTACAATTCGTTCAAATTTGCATCTGTAAAGTTTTATTCCAGTTAAGTTCAATATCGTATTTCCGCCCCTCCTTGACAATGGCGTTGAGCATGCGTTGCATGTTCTTCTTGCTCTGTGAGATCAACAGCGTGTCGTCTGCATACAATACGTCGCGAGTGACCACGTAGGCGGGCGCCGGTTCAATGCAGCAGCAACGCAATAACAACAGCGCAACAACAATGCGCACCATCGCGGAATCTCATTAAAGCCACGCGCCCAGGTACAGTGAATGACCCTTCGGCCCCCTCGCTGAGACGTGCGTACCTCCGTTTGTCTTCGCTCCTTCCTTCCTTCTCTCCTTATCCTCCCGTTTGCTTTTCCCTCAATTGGTGTTTGTTTCTTTTGGTTTGTGGCCGATTGAGGCATGTGGGCCAATCGGGCCGTTGAGGCGTTGAAGTCCTCGCGCAGTGACGTACCCGATCCATCGCCACCATGACCATCACCGCCTTCTCCTTCCTCGCCCCTGGCGCGCAATGGAGAGGAGGAGGAGGAGGAGGAGAGGAGAGGAGAGGAGGGGCAGGAGGAGGAGAGGAGGAGGAGGCGGGGCAGGAGGAGGAGGAGGAGGAGGAGGAGGACGAGGACGAGGGGCAGGAGGAGGGGGCAGGAGGAGGAGGGGGAGGAGGAGCTCGAGGAGGAGGAGAAGGAGGAGCAGGAGGAGGAGGAGGAGGAGGAGCAGGAGGAGGAGGAGGAGGAGGAGCGGGTCGATTCTCCGAGGACGAGGGGGGCGAGGAGCCCCCGCCCCCATCCAGGAGCATGGGCATCGACGATGTGCTCTACGGCGCCCGCCTCGGATGCCACCGTGCGGCCGATCCGCGCACTCGCTTCCGACCGTGATTCGGCGGCGAGCCTTGGGGGGGGGAAGTGAGAAAAGGGCCGGCCTTCTCGGAAGGCTCGGAAGTCCCTCCCCAGGGCCTTCAGAGGAAAGTGTTCGAAGCTTTCCCCGAAGACACAGCAAGCTTCTCCGAAGTCGCGAGGGCTTCTGAGAAGCCCCGCCGCCTTCTGAGACGGCCTTCTCCTTCTCACTTGCCCCCCTCGCTCGCCGCCGAAGCTTGGAGTCGGCATCTGCCGCAACTCCTTTGGGAGCGCCTTCCCAGGAGCCTCTGTTGACATCCGCGCTCCCATCCATCAGAAACGTGAGTTCGACCCGATCTCGCCCAGATTTCGACCAACCCCCTCCTTACCTTTTCGTCCAGATTTCGCCCCCATGTCGTCCAGATGCCGACCAAATCCGACGAACCCCCGCGTGGTGGAGGAGCCGACTCGGGTGCTTCGCCGTGGAGGAGGAGGAGGAGGAGTAGGAGAAGGAGGAGGAGGGAGGAGGAGGAGGAGGAGGAGGAGCAATAAGAGGTGATCGAAGACATCGAACAGGACTGGGCCTCCTCCCGCGTGCCCGCGCCGGCGCGCGCGCCGTTGGCCACAGAGCCCGGCGGCGCGGCAGGCCTCGGGCCAGAGCGCCTGGCCGTAGGGTCGTCCTGGTCCTGCTGCTGCTGCTGCTGCTGCTGCGCCTGCTCGGGCGGCTCCTCCTCCTCCTCCTCCTCCTCCTCCTCCTCCTCCTCCTCCTCCTCCTCCTCCTCTCCTCCTTCTCCTCCTCCTCCTCCTCCTCCTCCTCCTCTCCCTCCTCCTCTCCTCCTCCTCCTCCTCCTCCTCCTCCTCCTCCTCCTCCTCCTCCTCCTCCTCCTCTCTCCCTCCTCATCCTCCTCCTCCTCCTCCTCCTGCCTCTTCCTCCTCCTCCTCCTCCCTCGCCAGCTTGCTGCTCTTGCCGAGCGGCTCGGTTGGCGCCAGCATGCCGAGGGGGAGGGTGAGGCTGCCTTTGCCGCGGCTGCTGCCAGTTTTGGTGCGGAGGCGAGTGGGGGTCTTCTCGTGTGCGACGGGCACCATATTCACAGGGCAGGGTCCTTCCTGTTCTGAGGGCTCTGCGGGGCCCGAGTTGCCCTGGGCTCGGCCAAGATCGAGGTCCTCGGTGAGCCCTGCCCCACGAAGCCCCCTAACCCTGCGCGCCGGCGAGCCATGGACTGGCTCTCGGAAGGCAGGCACCCAGCAACTGGGATCAGGCTCGTCCAGTCTAATCTGTAATTTGCTTTGTTTTGTTTGAGGGCTGGTGTTTTATCACCCTCGCCCAGTATTATATAGTCGTCGTTGCGTGCTCGGATGCTTCGCCGTTCTATGCTGCGTCCTCCTTCCTCCTCCTCCTCCTCCTCCTCCTCCTCCTCCTCCTCCTCCTCCTCCTCTTCAAAGAATGAGAAGGATCTGCACGAGATGGGCGACTACAAAACGGCATAGAACAAGGTGGAGAAACAGACACAGTACCTCAAGGCGGTGGACTTCGTGGACAACTGGAGCGGTAACAAGCAGCTGTTCAACGTGAGCAGGAGGAGCACGGGATGGGACAACAAGAAAGACATCACCTGCTCGTGCGGACCTGCCTTCTCTAACAAGCTGTGGTTGGAAGGCCCCGGCCCCAATTCGAGGGGAGATTCGTGGAAGCTGTGGTGCAAGGTGGACTGGATGCACCGGGTGATGGCGCAAGAGAACCACCCTGAAGACGCGCTCATGAAATAGTGTGGACAAGATGAAGGATGACTTCGGCAAGGACTGCGAGAAATTGCCCGACATCGTGTGCAAAGCGATGTTCCACCCGTACAGGAGGGGACCTTCAATGGTGGTGGAACTCAAGGTAGGAGAAAAGTGGGGAGCGCTCGTAGCGGACAGGCTGCCGCAGATGCTAGACGACGCCATCCAAGAGAACGACGTCAAGCTCTACGTCACCGCCCAGAAGATGAGCCCAGAGGAGCGGCTCGAACTGATCCCAAATCCCAATGTCCTTCCCGATGACGCACGATGTCGAGGGCTGCGCGCTAGTCGCAAGGTGCCTATTGGATGCGTGGGAAAGAGCAGGGAAGGGGGCCTTCACTACGCATAGCTGGTGCGCGCTGGCGCTGAAGATCTCGAAGAAAGACGAGGATAATCTTTACAGCGTCATGAAGGTTGCCTTGAAGGAGATGAAGAACGAGGATGCGCTCGATCCAGAGGAGGTGAAGAGGCTCAAAAAGCGTCAGCAACTCTGAGACAGCAAGAAGTCCCTGTTGGATGGCACCGGGATCTTCGAGAAGTGCGCCAAGTCGGAGGGGGCGGCCAGCTCCGGCGACCGCAAGAGAGAGAGGCCAATTGCAGTGCCAAGAGGCGCATTAGCGAGGATCTCTCGGAGTGCGACTTTAAGCACGCATGACGGGCAGACTCAACGGGACCTTCGCTAGCGGGGGCATCTCGGCGCGAAGACCTTCGAGAGAGTGTTCGCACAGACAACGTCTGGGAGTGAGGGTGGAAGAATGAGGTAACCACGATGGCCACCGGAGCGCGTCCTCGAGGGCCCCGCCGAAATAGGAGGACTGGAAGAGGAAATGTAAACCAACCGGTAACATGCCGTGATTATCAGTATCCTCTCCTTTATCAGCACTTCTAAGGGGTACTGTGGGATACTACTGCAGGGTAGCAGGGTAAAGATACGACAATGCGTGGGACAACCATCGGCCAGTGCGCTATGGAAGGGAAGTGAGGAGAGAGAGAGAGAGAGAGAGAGAGAGAAAAAAAAAAAAAAGAGAAAAGGCATCAGGGGGTCCTCTTTGGGGCTCGGGCTGTCTTGGGGCCCTCATGGCCCGCCAGACGCCTTCGGTTGCTACCTTGGGGGCCTGCCGGGGCCGTCTTAGGGCCTCTTTGGGCACCGTGGCGCCGTATTGGAGCCACCTTGGGCGCCGGGTGGGCCTGGGGCGACTCCTGGTGGAGCGCGGGCGCGCCGACGACGTCGAGCTCGGGCGCGCGGCCGGGGCGGTCCTGGGCGGAACCTTTGCTGTTTCGGAAAGGGTTCGGCCTGGGGCATCGGGGATAGCGTGTCGCTCCGCAGGTTCTGGCCCACCGCGCTTCGATGAGACACGCCATCCACTTCCCGGTCCCCAGGCTTCAACGGTATGAGCGTTTGGAAGTTTACCGTTCCGCGGAGTCGAGCGACACGCTACCCGCTCGCGTGGCACAGCGTATCGCCGGGGCCGCCACACGCTGAGCAAAAGTTCCTGAGTGCAGTGATGGCCGCAGTCGCGGACAGCATTGCGCAATTGAAAGACAAAAGGAACAGTCATCCTGCTGTGGGTGCACTCGCTGCTGCCGCTGACCCCTCCAGGGTCAGAGTTCCTCAGCGATCAGAGCAGTGCCAGGGCACTCATTTGAGGCGTCCCCCGTCCACCTCGTGTGGGCGTTGGACGGTGCGTTCGCTGCTCCGCCTGCACCCACCACAGTCCGCACACGATCTGCCCTCTACACCTCCTCCACACCGCTCAATCTCTCCCTATCTTTCTCTCTCTCTCTCTCCCGTTCTCTGTCTGTCTCTCTCTCTCTCTCTCTCTCTCTCTCTCTCTCTTTTTCTGACTCTCTCTATACACACATCTATATACACGCCCTCTCTCTCTCTTTTGTTCTCTCTCTCTCTCTCTCTCTCTCTCTTTCTCTCTGCGCATCTCTCTCTCTCTCTCTGCGCTCTGCACGTCCTCCGCCCCATGCTCTCTGCAGCCCCCGCGCCCTCTGCACCCGCCGCGGCCCCCGCGCCCTCGGCATGCTGCTCACCGTGCGTCGCTCACGAGCCTGGGCCTGGCGCGGAGCACGCGCTTCGCGTGCTTCGCAATCTTCGTACAGCGCGTGGCCAGCGGCTCTCGACTTAGGTCGGGCACGTCCCTCTACAGGGGGAATAGTCCAAACTAGTCCAAGCATAGTCTGGGGCCAATTGCTTGATTATTAGTATTCTGTGTTATGTAGAATATGTTTGGTGCAGTTTGGATTGTTCGTCCATGATCTGCCGGTAGGGGGACATGCCCGACCTGCGGTGGCCGCGGATCTAGACTCGGGACGCCGTCCTCTTTCAGCGACGCTTGTTTCCCCTAGCCTTTAATGCCCCCTGGCGCCATGGAGGGTCCGACTTCCCTGCGCAGGATGCATGGGAGTCTGTTTCCGTATCTGAGTCTTCTGCTTCATCTCCACATGATCCTCCTTCTCATGATCCCTTTCTCCTTTGTTCTTCCTTTCCTGTACGCCGTCGCGTTCAACAGTCCGAGATCACGGGAAAAACGAGACCGCAGCCTCGATCAATCACACAGATTGCACAACCAGTGCGTGCATAATGAGTGACTAGAAGGGCGAACACCATTGACTAGGAAGAAGAGCCCGCCGGGGCGCAGAGGTGCGAGCGACGGCAAGGACTCCCCGGAGACCCCCAGGCAGTCGTTTCCCCACGCCTCCTCTGGTAGCACCTCAGACCTCGGCCGGAAGAACCTCGGCCTCTCTGCGCTCTGCACGTCCTCCGCCCCATGCTCTCTGCAGCCCCCGCGCCCTCTGCACCCGCCGCGGCCCCTGCGCCCTCGGCATGCTGCTCACCGTGCGTCGCTCACGAGCCTGGGCCTGGCGCGGAGCACGCGCTTCGCAATCTTCGTACAGCGCGTGGCCAGCGGCTCTCGACTTAGGTCGGGCACGTCCCTCTACAGTCGGGGGAGCGTAAGACCCGGGTTTGCCAGGACTCGGGTTCGCCATCGTTTTTTGACGACCGCGCCTCGGATTTTGACGAGGAGGAGTTTCGTGGGATGTCGGCAGCGGGAGGCCTCGTCAAAATGCAGGCTCGGTCTCGTCATTTTTTTGACGACCTCGTCGGGGATTTCCGAGTCCCCTGTACCCGGGTCTTACGTCCCCCTGATACAGGGGGAATAGTCCAAACTAGTCCAAGCATAGTCTGGGGCCAATTGCTTTATTATTTTGTGTTATGTAGAATATGTTTGGTGTAGTTCGGATTGTTCGTCCATGATCTGCCGGTAGGGGGACATGCCCGACCTGCGGCGGCCGCGGATCTAGACTCGGGACGCCGTCCTCTTTCAGCGACGCTTGTTTCCCCGGCTGAACCCGGCCGCGCCGTTTCATCTTCGTACAGCGCGTCAGGCTGAACTCGGCCCAGCTGACCTCGGCCAGGCTGAGCTCGGCCAGGCCGAGCGCGGCCAGGCCGACCTCGGCCAGGCCGAGCGCGGCCAGGCCGACCTCGGCCAGGCTGAGCTCGGCCCGGCCGAGCGCGGCCAGGCCGACCTCGGCCAGGCGGAGCTCGGCCGAGCCGAGCTCGCTGGCGGCACGGAGCGCCGAGCGAGGGCCAAGAACGTGGGGAGCGGACGCAGCAGCGGGCAAGGCCGGCGGGCGAGCGGCCCAAGACGGCGTCCTCCGCCTCCTCGTCCTCCTCCTCCTCCTCCTCGTCCTCCTCCTCCTCCTCCTCCTCCTCGTCCTCCTCGTCCTCCTCCTCCTACTCGTCCTCCTCCTCCTCCTCCTCCTCCTCCTCCTCCTCCTCCTCCTCCCCTCCTCCTCGTCCTCCCCCTCGTCCCCCCTCCTCCTCCTCTCCTCCTCCTCCTCCTCCTCCTCTCCTCCGCCTCCTCCTCCTCCTCCGCCTCCTCCTCCGTCCTCCTCCTCGTCCTCCTCCTCCTCCTCCTCCTTCTCCTCCTCCTGCTCCTCCTCCTCCTCTACCTCTCCGCCCCCCCCGGTATCATCAGACGGTGAGCTTTTTTCTTAGGTGGGGAGGGGCCCTGTCGCTGGCCCACGGTTGGCGCAAGGCCGCACCCCGATGGCAAAGGAGGTCCTCTCCGATGCCCCCCCCCCTGGGGGGTTTGCGGCCGGGCCGTCGGGCCTCTCCGCCTTTCTCTCCTCCTCCTCCTCCTCCTCCTCCTCCTCCTCCTCCTCGTCCTCCTCCTCCTCCTCCTCCTCCTCCTCCTCCTCCTCCTCGTCTCTCCTTCGGCGGCGTGCGATCCTCGCCAACGTCATCCTCGTCGTGTCCTTCCCGCGCCCTGTGCCCCGCCTCCCCCACTGGGCGGGAGAGCGCGCCCGCGCCCGACGAGGCGCCGCCCGCGAGCGGTTCTGGAAGGAGCCTCGCGCCCCTCGGCCGTCGGCCGCTGCGGTTGCCGTCCTCGTGGCCGTCGCCGCCGCCGTCGTCAGCGTCGTCCTCGGCTGCGGCGTCGTCGCCGTCGTCGTCGTCGCCCTCGCCGTCGCCGTCGCCCTCGCCGTCGTCGTCGTCGGCGACGTCGCCGTCGTTGGCGGCGTCGCCGTCGGCGGCGTCGTCGGCGGCGTCCTCGTCTGTCGTCGGTTGCGATCTCGTCACCGTCGTCGGTGGTGTCGTCGGCCTCGGTGGCCGTCGCCGCCGTCATCATCGGTGGCCTCTTCGCCTGTCGTTGCTGGCTGCGGCGTTGTCGCCGTCGTCGTTTGCGGCGGCGGTGTCGCCCTCGGCGGTGCCCACGTCCACGTACTTGCCCGGGCCCTCGTTACGGGCCGTCCTCATTGTCGTCATCGGAGACCAGAAGGGGAGTGTGAGAAGGAGGGCGAAGGGAAGCAGGTGGGGGAAGGAGGACGGAGGGGAGGAGGGGGCAGGTGGGGAAAGGAGGACAAGGGGAGAGTGAGAAGGAGGCAGGTGGGGAAGGGAGGGCGAAGGGGAGGAGAGAGGAGGGGGAGGAGTAGGAGGGCAGCCGTGTGCTAGGAGACCGCTCGGGAATAGTACAGGTGCTCCTCCACCCAGCTGATCTCCCCTTCGCCCCTCCGCCCCAATTGTCTTCCTGCTTCTTCGGCAGCGCCCCGAGCCCCGAGGGGGGGGGACGTGCGAGAGGCGGCAGGGTGCTTTGGCGGACGCCCAGGAAGCTCCTCGGAAGGCCGGAGGCCTCTCGAGCCTTCGGAGCAGGCCCGCCCCTCGTCTGCCTTCCCCCCGGCGGGCGCGCGCCGCCGACACCGGCCTTTAAAAGGACGTGGCGGCGCACGGGGTGACCCCGGAGCGGTGCCGCACCGAGATCTGCCCCGCCGCCGCGGAGTTCTTCGAGGAGGGCGCGGCGCGGGGGGCGGCCACCGCGCTCGCGTCCCGCAGCGCTCCCAGGCACGATCGCGCCGTAAAAAGATCAGGACGGGAGGTTGTGGGCCATTTTCGGCCTCGGGGGGGCCCTCGCCGGGCCTCGGGACCGTCAAGAAACGACTCAGGATGAATAACCGGTCCCGGGGAAAGGGTGGGGACTTCTAGGGATCCCGTCAAGAACAAATCAGGACGTCGCATGTCTGTTTTTTTTTTGTTTGTTCCTATCTGCCGCCCGTTCCCGCGTCTCCGAGGGGCTCGCGGCGGCAGGAGGCGTCGTCCAGGCTCTGCAAGGGCCTCCACGCCAAGACGTCGGGGCGACTGTTCACGCAGACGGCGCAGGCCGCCTGTCGGCGGTTCGCTGGCTGTGGATGTCGAAACCTCGCCGTGCACTCCCAGATGCGGCGCGCTCCGGAGAGGTCCCTGCCTTGGAAGATCGTGGGAGTTGGCATCTCTTCCCTGGCGGAAGATCGGCGGCGGGACCGCTGGCGGAAGGACGGTGGAGGTTCCATCTGCGCCCCCAAGAGATGGCAAGGATGTCTGCTTCATGCTTTCCAGAGACGGCCATATGGGCGAGGAGGGGGAACGCTGAGTCACTCCCATGGAAGATGGTGAGCGAGCGGGGGAGAGGGGGGGGGGGGGCTGTTTGCTCGAGGGGTGGTCTGCGGGTCCCCGCCCTCGGGTTGGAGGGGAATGGCGGAAGGGGGCAGGGGCAGAGGGGATGGTGAAGGATCAAGTTCCAAGACGGAAATCCACAGGTCGGTTTGCTTTTTCGCATCCGCCTTCCTACGCAGAGGTGCCACCCGAGACTACACATTGGCACTGATCGCTTTCCAATGGGCACTGTCGAGACCCCATGCCAAAATGTAGGTGCCAGGTGCGCCACCTGCCGCAGCTCCAGGAATCAGCTGGTCTGGGCCCACGGACCCGCATCAATCATGACTCGGAAGACCTGGTGACAGCTCCTCGGGTTCGGTGGCGGATCACGCTTCAGATCATACTCTCGCACTGCCTGGACGGACATCTTCCCATTGTCTCCCAACCATGCTTGTCGCAGCTCGAAAAGTCACAACCGGGCCAGTTTCTCACGGGAGTCCCATGGGGTCCTGCGGCCAGGGGGAGGCAGCAGTTTCCGTCTGCGCTCCTGTGGGACACCGGGTCAAGTGGCTAGACGATGAGGCCGCCCTGCTTCGTCTGGCCTGGCCTCGAGACCCGACGCCTCAAGACACGAAGCAGTGTCAGAAGATCACGACGGGAGCCCCAGACCTCCCTCGTTCTGCCCCATTCTCGATCCACACCGATCTGTGATGGTCCCAGGGCCCGACACATGATCAGGAGGGGGCGAAGCACACAGACACCAATCACCGGCGACTCCCAGGAACATGTGGGAACATCTGGGCAGGTGGGTGGGGAAGACGAGCGCCCAGCAGACATAAGGGAACACATGGGGAAGCCTGGGATTTGTGTCTGTATTCACTTGTGTGTCCCTGTGCCCCTCTACTAAATGGGCGGAGCGGCCTGGTGTGCAAAGGACCGCAGCGCCGTGAGCTCAGCGGGCGAAGAGGCCGTCCTGCCCCCCACCCCCGCTCGTTGGCGGCGCGCGCGGCGAGGGGGCAGCGTGGGGGGCGTATGCCCTCTGAGGGAAGGCGTGGCGCGCTCTCGAGAAGGCAGGAGCCTTCTCGGAGGGGGCCCGGAGGAAGAGGAGGAGGAGGAGGAGGAGGAGGAGGAGGAGGAGGAGGAGGAGGAGGAGGAGGAGGAGACAGAGGAGGAGGAGGAGGATTTTTTAACATCAACAACTGCCAAGCCGTACTCTCTGGGGGGACGGCGCCTCCCCCCAGAGGAGGGGCAGGGCTGGGTGGCGCCAAATGCCACTTACGCCACCAGCCCTGCCCCGCCGCTGACGTCACGGCAACTGCGGGGGGACTCACGCCGAAATGGCTGCCAGTCCCGCAGTGCCGTGGAAACAGCGGCGTCCCCTCGCCCCGCCCGCGTTGGGGGGAGCAGAGGGAAAAACATCTCAGCCTGCTGCGAACGCTCCACGCTGATGGCAGAGCGAGGCAACCTTGTTGGGCCGAAACACGACGCCAAAAGGAGGCTGGACGCTCCTCGACCCCCGCGGAGGGGACGAGACAAAACTAAAACACAACCCTTAAAGGGAAGGCGCTCTGAGACCAATGATTTCGAACAATCCGAATCAAAAGTTGGGGACGGGCAAAGAGGACGAGGGCGCAAGGGCGGAAATCGCCCCTGTTGGCAACTCTTCTGGTCGGCCTACACCCAAGTTCTTCCTTGGGTGGCGGCCAAGCATGACTTTGTTAAAATTCGTGCGGCCGTGGCCGCGCAACTCGTTAGGACATTCCTTGGACAAAGCAGTCGGAGGCGTTCTCGGACGCCCCCCTTGCTCTAGGCCTCCCAGATGGTGTCGGAGCAGATGGGGTCGGAGGATCGCATCGCATCGCCGATACATTGGTGATGCGTCTCGATGCGGAGCCCGCTTTTCTCCACGCCGACGTCGCCGACGTCGGCGATGCATCGCCGATGTCTCGGCGATGCGGCGTGATCCTCCGAGATCCTCTTACCCCATCTACTCGGACCCCATCTAGGAGGTCTCTAAGGGGGGCTTCTACGAAGGCCGCCCCCGTCTTCCCAGAGTCCGCAACAGAAAAGTTACATAGGCACCCTCCACTGGATTGCTCTTGGACCTCAGGGGAGGGTGGCGGTGTGTACAAATCGCCACTGGGAGCCGGCGGCTTTGTACACACCGTCCCCTCCGCGAAGGTATAGGCAAAGCTCGTCGGAGAGTGTCTGTGTATATGTGTATGTCTTGATGTATAGACGCATGCACATTTTTATATGTGGATGTATACATAGGTGAATATATACATACATATGCGTGTATATATACACATAGACGAGTGTGCATCTTTTATAAGAAACATACAGACATGTGCATGGCGAACAGAAGGCCGCCGCCCTCGCGCTGCCCTCGCGTACGCGCCGCCAACAGAGGAGCTGCCCTCCACCCCCCCCCCGCTGGCGCTGGCGCGCGAGGCGCCCCCCCCCCCCCCGCGCGCGCGCACCGATGGCGTGGGCCGCGGCGCGGCTCTCCGACCGCGGCATCCTGCGTGTGGCGGGCGCGGGCAGCGGCAAGTTCCTGCAGGTGATGGGCACATTTTCCACCACCACCACTACCATATGTAGGACGGTGGAGAAGGAAGGACGAGGAGGGAGGATGAGGAGGTCCACCTCCTCCTCCTCCTCCTCCTCCTGCTCCTGCTGCTCCTCCTCCTCCTCCCCCCCTCCTCCTCCTCCTCCTCCTCCTCCCCTCCTCCTCCTCCTCTCCTCCTCCTCCTCCTCCTCCTCCTCCCCTCCCCCTCCCTTTCCTCCTCCTCCTCCTCTTCCTCCCTTTCCTCTCCCTTCCTCCTCCCTCCTCCTCTCCTCCTCCTCCTCCTCCTCCTCCTCCGCCTCCTCCTCCTCCTCCTCCTCCTCCTCCTCCTCCTCCTCCTCCTTCCTCCTCCTCCTCCTCCCCTCCTCCTCCTCCTCCTTCCTCCTCCTCCTCCTCCTCCTCCTCCTCCTCCTCCTCCTCTCCTCCTCCTCCTCCTCCTCCTCCTCCTCCTCCTCCTCCTCCTCCTCCGCCTCTCCTCCTCCCCCTCCCCCTCCCTCCTCCCCTCCTCCTCTCCCCCCTCCCTCCTCCTCGTCCTCCTCCCCTCCTCACCTCCCCTCCTCCTCCTCCTCCTCCTCCTCCTCTCCGCCTCCGCCTCCTCCTCCTCCCCTCCTCCTCCGACTCCTACTCCCTTCCTCCTCCTCCTCCTCCTCCTCCTCCTCCTCCTCCTCCTCCTCCTCCTCCCTCCTCCTCCTCCTCCTCCTCCCCCTCCTCCCTCCTCCCTCCTCCCTCCTCCCTCCTCCCTCCTCCCTCCTCCCTCCTCCCTCCTCCTCCTCCTCCTCCTCCTCCTCCTTTTCCCACCTACGGTTGTGGTGGTGGAAAATGGGCCCTTCAGCAGGGGCTGTGCACCCAGGACGTCGGCGCCCTGGGCGCCCAGCGTGCCGTGCCTGCGGCCTTTCTGTCGCCCAAGGTCGAGGAGGAGGAGGAGGAGGAGGAGGAGGAGGAGGAGGAGGGTAATGAGGATGAGGACGAGGAGGACGAGGAGGACGAGGAGCAGGAGGAGGCGGAGGAGGAGGAGGAGGAGGAGGAGGAGAAAGAGGCAGGGGCAGCAGCAGCAGCAGCAGCAGAAGAGGCAGGAGGAGCAGAGGAGGGCGAGGAGTGAGAAGAAGGAGGGAAGCGGCATGGCCATATACTCTAGGTGCTCTGCGCGGACGTCTTGGCTTCCTCTGGCGCCGCCCCTGGCGCATTCCGCGCGCCAGGCAGGGGGGCCGGCGCCGATCCAAGAAATCCACGCGGAGTTCCGGAAGTTTCTGTTATTGCAGTTTGTTCCTTTTCTGCAAGGGCAAGGTGCTGTGTGACACCATCCTGGTCGCGAACGGAGCGGACGATATCCTGATCGACTGCCACGCCGACGCGGCGCGGTCCCTCCTCCGACTGCTGAAGAAGCACCGCCTGCGCGAGAAGTTCCAGATCGAGGACGTCTCCGGCGAAGTCGCGGCCGTGGCGCTCCTGCCCGAGGAGGCCGCGGGGCAGGGGGCCGCGGCGCCCACGGAGGCCGCGGTCGCGGAGTCCTTCGCGGACCCGCGCTTCGCGGCCCTCGGGCGGCGCGCGGTGCTGCCGTCCGAGGCGGCGGGGCCGCCGGCCGAGGGGGCCGACGCGGCGAGCGCGCTCGCGGCGTACCACCGCTGGCGGGTCTGCTGCGCCGTGCCGGAGGGGCCGCGGGACCTGCCCGTCGACGCCGTGATGCCGCTGCACGGCAACCTGGACCTGCTGAACTTCATCTCCTTCCGCAAGGCTCGGGTGCAACTCTCCGGGGAGGTCAAGTTCTGCTTTTGCCTCGGCCCGAGGTCTGGCTTGATCCGGTCTGTTCCCGCTTGATCCCGCTTCATCCGGCTTGGTCCTGCTTAATCCGCGGCCTAATCCGGCGTAGTAGCCCCCCAATGGGGCTTTCTCTTCCTTCTTCTTTCCGAGAAAGACATCCCAGCAGTTGCATCCCAAGCAAGGGCTGCTACGTCGGGCAGGAGCTGACCACGCGGACCAAGCACCGGGGCGCAGTGCGGCGCCGCTTCTTCAGCGTCGTCTCCGCCGAGGTCGGGGTCAACGACAGGGGGTATGGGCATAGGGGGGGATGCATCGACCCCCAATCGCCCATTGATCGACGATGCGGGCCCGGCAGCCCCAACCTTGCGCAGGCAGGTGCGGATTTACTATCGGGGGCCTATTGCCGATCTATCCGCGATGTCGGTGCCTCCCCCCCTCACCCCCCATCCCCCTCTCTCGTTGCCCCTCCCGAGGGGTGCCCGGCCGCGTTCCTCGAGGGACTGGCGCTGGAGCCGGCGGCGCCGCTGCCCGTGCGGGCCGCGCTGGGGGCGCGCGGGCGCGCGCTGCCGGGCGAGGAGGGGCCCGCCGAGGCGCGCGCGGTGCACGCGCGGATGCAGGACGCGGAGAGCTCCAAGGCTCAGGGGCAACGTGAATTATGATGGGCAAGTTTCCACACCTCTACCACATGTAGGACGGGGGGAAAAGAGGGGATGAGGAGGTCCTCCTCTTTCTCCTCCTCCTCCTCCTCCTCCTCCTCCTCCTCCTCATCCTCCTCCTACCACTCCTACATATGGTAGCGGTGGTGGAAGATGGGCCCATCCGGACGTGGAGGTCTCCAAGGCTGAGGGGCAAAGTGAATCCGGGTGGAGTCGGGCACGTCTCTCTGCAGGAGGAATCTCCCAAACCAGTCAACACATCGTAGGGGTACGATGTTTCTCCAATTCATGAATATTATTGCATTTTCGTTTTAAGCTTTCGTCCTACATCCGACTCCGACTCTAGGAGGCCATGCCCGACCTTAACATTAGGGTTTGTTTGTTGCATAGTTGTTGCATATTTGTTGTATATGTGTTTTAAGTTTTCGTCCTACATACGACTGTAGGAGGCCATGTCCGACCTTAACATTAGGGGGCCGTCGGTCGAGCACCTTTGCTCGGCGCGCTGCGGCTGCGTAGGCCTCGCGAGCGATATCATGGCGTGTCGCTCCGCTCCGCGCGCCCGGAGGCTGCGAAAGGCGCAGGACGCTGTGGAGGAGGAGGAGGAGGAGGAGGAGGAGGAGAGGGAAGAGGATGAGGAGGAGGAGGAGGAGGAGGAGGAGGAGAGCGAGGAGGAGGAGGAGGAGGAGGAGGAGGAGGCGCGTCGCCTCGAAGTGCGGTGGGCCAGAGCCGGCGGAGCGACGCGCCCGACCATAGGCCCAGGGGGAGCGCGTCGGCACCCCAGCGCCCACGGATCGCCGAGAGGGGGGGCCTGCTGGCCCACCCCCGCCCAGCACCGCGCGGATTCGCGAGCGGGGGCCTACCGCCGAGCCATTGGCGATGCCTCGCCTATTCCAGGTCGGTGTCCTCCTCCTCCTCCTCCTCCTCTCCTCCTCCTCCTCCTCCTCCGCTTCTCCTCTTCCTCCTCCTCCTCCTCCTCCTCCTCCTCCTTCTCGTCTCCTCCTCCTCCTCCTCCTCCCCTCCTCTTCCTCCTCCTCCTCCTCCTCCTCCTCCTACTCCTCCTCCTCCTCCTCCTCCTCCTCCTCCTCCTCTCCTCCTCCTCCTCCTCCTCCTCCTCCTCCTCCTCCTCCTCCTCCTCCTCCTCCTCCTCCTCCTCCCCCACACCCCTGAGCTGGTCCTCTTCTAGGCCTCCTGGATGGGGTAGGAGCAGATGGCGTCGGAGGATCGCTCCGCATCGCCGATGCATCGACGATGCGGCTCGATGTACAGCCTGATTTTCTCCACTCCGACGTTGCCGATGCATCGGTGATGCGGTGCAATCCTCCGACCCCATCTACTCGGACCCCACCTAGGAGGCCTCAATCCTCCCCCCTGTCGTGGCCCCTCACAGGTGGTGGGCGAGCTGCACAGCGTGGCCGGCACGGCAGGGCTGTGCGCCTTGCGGTGCGACAGGCAGCTCAACAGCGCCACGGACTTCCTCGGGGGCTCCCCGCTGGCCGAGGGCACCGAGCTCAGCGCCGGGGAGGGCATCGCGCTGGGCCTGCGGGCCCCGCCGTACGCGTTTATTGCAGAGGAGTGAAAATGCTGCGCTTGCTCTTTTGCCTTCCACAGCTGGTCTGTAAGGTTTTTTATGGAATGTCAGAAGTAGGTTTAAGTCGGGCACGTCCCTCTGCAGGAGGAATCTTCAAACATAGTGAAACATAGTCGGCGGACGATGTTTTAATTATGTGCTTTGCCATGTTTGAATCTGTGTGCGTATTTTGTATTCTCCACGTTTGTCTTTAGGGGGACATGCCCGACCAGAGTAGGTTGACGGCCGGATTCCAAGCGGCCTGGCGACCTGGACCCCGTTGGCCCCCGTTGGCCTCCACTGGCCCTGGCTTTCGCCAGTTATCTTCCGTTGTCGTCCCTATCAATTATTTTATCTATTTTGTTCGTATTCTTGCATCCCTAGCCTTTTGTCGGGCCTGTCCCTCTACAGGAGGAATATTCAAAACATGTGAAAAATAGTCGGGGAACGATGTTCCTTCTATATTTGAATATTTGTGAGCATCGTTTGAGTATTTCTTAACCTTTGGCCACACTCCGCCTGTAGGAGGACATACCCAGCCTAACCTTATCCCTGTTGTTCGTATCCTTGCATGCCTAGCCCAATATCTCTACGCCTGTCCTTATCATGACCCCTGCCCAGATCCCCCCTACCGCGACCCTCATCGTGGACCCCATCGTAACCTAAAGTTGTCTATGACCTTCTGTCGCAAGGGTATCATTTGCTGCTCTCTTTCTTTCTCTTTGGTGTCTATGGGAACTTCTCGTTTCTTTCCGTTCAAGAGTTTTTGTCTCGGAGTGTTCTTGGGTCGCCCGGCCGGTGGTTGCGGGGGGGCACTGTGGCGGTAAGGGCGAATGCCGCCCGAGAGGCCAGTGCGTCGAGACATTGGCAACATGCTGGGGTGGTTCGGCCCGTTTCGCATGAGACATACTCGCCACTCTGGGCTTCCAGACGCTACGCGAGAGGTGGTCTGGCCCGTATCCCATTGCCTAAGACATCCTCAACTCTTTTGGGCTTCGGATACCGTGACCTGAGGTTGCCTCGTCCATGTCGCTATAGACATCGTTGCTACACTAGGCTTCAAATTGCCGCCCGCGAGGTGGTCGTGTCTGTTTCGCCTGAGACGTCCACGCAAGTATTGGCAAAACGATGCCGCGTGCGAGGGTGTATAGCCAGCTCTGCATGAGACGCCCCAGCAAATCAGAGCAACCTCTCAGGAGTGCGAAGCGAAGGAGGAGGGGAGGAGGAGTAGCAGGATGACTGAAGACGAGGGGGAGGAAGGATAATGCTCGTGTTGCTGTCAGACAAGTATTCTTGTTGCCAATGCTTTCGGGACACTTTTCGTCGCCAGGGCTGGACGCGGCTCGATCGTGCCGGGTGATGCGTGCTGGTGTTCTGCCGACGAAGGGTGTGTCATGGGCCCGTTCGCGCACAGATGGAGCATGGAGTGGACGAGCTGGGGTGGTGCCTGCTCGCAGCACACAGGAGGATGAGCAGGAGGTGCGCGCGGAGGGAGCAGCATGGAGTCGGAGGAGGATGGGGGAGGGTGAAGAGAAGCATGGAGAGGAGACAGCGGGGGAAGAGGAGCTTGGGCCTGATGGCGGCAGGGGGTCGAGATGTGAGCCTCCAGTGGGAGAGAAGCGGTGGTTGCGGGCTGCGGGGCAGGACGGCATCTCATTCGAGCTCGAGGGAGACGACGACGACATCTGACATGGGGGCCATGCCAGGCTGGTCCCCGCTCATCTGTTTCTCCTCCTCCTCCTCCCCCTCCCCCTCCTCCTCCTCCCCCTCCTCCTCCTCCTCCTCCTCCGCCTCCTCCTCCTCCTGCTCCTTCTCCTCCTTCCCCTCCTCCTCCTCCTCCCCCTCCCCCTCCCCCTCCTCCTCCTCCGCCGACGCTCCGGGGCCAGGCCAGGCTGGTTCCCGCTCATCATTGTCCTCCCACACAGGCCCGTGACCTCAGCATGCGGGCGACTCTCGCAAAGGTCAGTGCCTTCGCCGCTCACGCATCCCGCTCTTGCTTCGGGATCGCCGCGCCGCCGCCGCCGCCTGACCCGCGCAGGGGCAGGGCGGATCGTAGTTTTGAGTCGGGCATGTCCATCTGTAGGAGGAGCCTTCAAGAACAGTTTTAAATAGTATGGGGACGTTTTTTCGTGTTCTGCTGTCGTTTGACCGTGTTCTGTTGTATGTTCTATTTGTCTTCCCAAATCCGCCTGTTGGAGGACATGCCCGACCTAGTCGCAGTCCCTTCTCGCCCTCCTGCATTTGCCACGCCTCGTCTCGACGAACAAAACGAATACAGTGCGACCCAAACTAGGGGAGATATTCCTATTGCTGTGCACAGTGCTTGGCATTGTCCGGCATTGATTGGCCTTGCCTGGCGTTGCTTTGCAATGCGGGAGAACCCTGGGAAGGAGACTGGGGAACTCGATCAAGCCACGCAAGATCAAGACCCCGACACCCGAGGAAGCCAAGCAACGGACCGGCAGGGAACGAGACCGGGGATCCCGAGGAAGCCAAGGAGAAGGCAAGACGGGGGAATTCGAGGAGGAAGGCCCCGGGAGACCCGAGGCAGCCCAGCGAGGCTATGAAGGACGGGGGCCTCGAGGAGATTTTTTGCAAGGAAGCGAAGCCTGGAAGCCCCGGGCCCCTGCGAGGAAGAACGGGACCGGGGAGCCCACGAGGACCTTCCCAGCCCCCGCATATTAGTAGGAAGCCAGGCCGGGGAGCCCCGGGAGGAAGCACGAGACCGGGGAGCCCGCGAGGACCCCCCCCGCCCCCCCTGCAGGTCTAGGAAGCCAGGCCAGGGGAAGCTCCGAGAGGCGCGCAAGGGCCACCCGCGCCAGGGGGGCTGCCCAGCCCTAAGGCGGAGCCGCCCGGCTCGGGCAGGAGGCGCGGGCGGTCGGACGCCGAGGAGGAAGGAGGAGGAGGAGGAGGAGGAGGAGGAGGAGAAGGAGGAGGAGGAGGAGAAGGAGGAGGAGGAGAGGAGGAGGAGGAGGAGGAGGAGGAGGGGAGGGAGAGGAGGAGGGGGAGGAGGAGGAGGAGGAGGAGGAGGAGGAGGGTCGAGGTGCCGGCTCGGGGCTGGGCACGCGGAAGTCCTTCCGGCTTGTCGGGCGTTCCTGTGGCGATCGTTTTCTCTTTCGTCGTTTTGCCGATCGGCGCGGGCCCGCGCACCCCGTCTCCCCTCCCCTCCCTCCCTCCCTCCCGCCCGCCCTCCCTCCCCCACCCCCCACGGAGTAGATCTTGGCTGTTTTGGGGGTGCCTGTTTCGAGCAGGTGGAGTCTCCCCCATAGGACGCACTGCTGCAAACAGTTTCGTTAAGCAGACCCCCCTTCCGCCCAATGTCGAAACGCCAAATATGAAAGCAGTCACAAGGTCGAGGTCGGCTCGGGGAGGGCATCCTGATGTCCTTCGTGCTCGTTGGGTGGTCCTGTGCGTCCCGGGGGAAGGCACCATCGAGTGATCTTCTGGTTTTGGGGCGGTCTGGCCGACGGAGTTTCTCACGTTCTCGAGGGCCGTTCTTCTTTCTCAGGTCGGGCCGTGCACGAATGTTCGGAGGTGCGCGCGGGTTTCTGGAGAGCGACGAGCCCTCACTGGCGGCGCCTCTGGCCAGGCCCTGGCGCGTTTCGCGCGCTGGCGGAGGTGGGTCCAGCTCGCGCGGATCTTCGAACTTTCTGCGGAGGCCACGTCTATACAGATCTAGGCCTCCTAGATGGGGGTCGGACTGATGCGGCCGATGCGGCGCGATCCTCCGACCCCATCCACTCCCGCCCCATCTGGGAGGCCTCTAACAGAGTGCTCGGTCTTCGTCTGGACTTGGTCTATCTGGACTTCGCCTCTCCTGATAATGTTTACGCACGTTTGCGCGCGCCGTTTTTCATTGCTCTGCCCTCTGCCTTGTTGTTCCTTCTGCCAGGTCCCTGCCCTCTCGACGGCGGTCGTCGTCGTCATCCTCGTCTCTCCCCACCGTGTGCGTCGTCCGCGGCGCGGTCGTGCATACAG